CTCCGCAAAATTAGGCTATTCTGATAGTTATTGGAGCAATTCAATTGTAGTTTTTTGCAAAGCAGATCAGGCAACAGTGAGTTAGAGTTTGGTGAAGTTAGTTTTGTGAAATTTAAGCTTGGTTAGCCAGAAACTCATTAATAAAAATTCCGATCACACAAGGCGCTAAATATAGAGCGACCGGGTCGACAAAGGTGCGAGATAAATAATCACAACAATGGGCGGTGCCACACGATCTGGGGTAATCAGAGGTAATTCTCCAACTGGAAATTACCCAAAATCTGTTGAACAAGCTGTGGAGAAGGTATGTACTACACTCTTCAAAAAATTCGAAGAAAATTTTAACCAGAGATTTGAGGCACTTGATACAAAAATCGACAACATTACGGTACTACAAAAAAATGTCGATGAAATAAAAACTGAAGTTGGTAAAAATTCCGATAATATTAACAAAATGCAGAATCGTATTGATAATCTGGAGCAAAAAACCAAGTACAAGACTCTTCGTTTTAATGGAGTACCAGAGGGCCAAGGCGATGACACCAAATTAAGAAATACAATTCTGTCAATCATTAATAACAAGCTGAAGATCGTAGCTAATTTAAATATTTTTGAAAGCGTATTTAGAGTTGGTCAAAAAGCAAAAATACCCAGATCGGTCTTGGTAAATTTTAATGATGTTTCCATAAGAAATCAGATACTCCAGGCAAGGAAGCAACTAAAAGGATCCTCGTATACTATTTACGAGGACCTCACCGCTGCAAAGTACAACTTATTGCGTCTTGCTAAGGAAAAATATGGAAAGGATAAAGCTTGGACAACTGCTGGGAAAGTATATGTGTGGGACGAGAGTGAAAATAAAAAAATTCTAATTAATTCTGAAGCTGAAATGGAAGAGAAAGGCCGCGACTAAATCGACCCGGAACTACTACCAATACCTACCAAAGGAAATACTTTTTGTTGCAAATTGGGACTAACTAAACTAAACAGAGATAAGAACTATTTTTTGTTTTTTTTTTCTCTACAAAAATAGTTAATATATTCAGTGGTTTAAATGTCCCTAAAAATATGCATATATTATAATTTTTTGTTTGTTTATTTTCCGCCTTTAATTTCGAATTAAAATAACTATCGATTTTAAATATTTATTTTAAAAATATTATTACAGGGGGGGTTTTAGACTTGTTTTAGAAAATTTCATGTTTATGATGAATCCAAATATAAAGTATTTTAGTTTTTGTCATGCAAATGTGCGTTCCTTGTGTTCAACTTTTGAACTGTTTTCAGACTTTCTACTGGCTGAGCGATATGACATAATAGGGCTTTCGGAAACCTGGTTGAAGGAAGAATTGTCAGATGATGCGGTTGCCATCCCAGGGTACAACCTCTCTAGAGATGATAGGGGGGGGCCGAGGCGGAGGAGTAGCTTTTTATATTAGAGATTGTTACAGTTTTAAAAACATATCAGTACAGACAGCCCAAAGTACTCTGGAACAACTCTGGATTTCTGTTAAGATACAGGGTAAGTCCTTGTGCCTGGGAACATTATACCGAGCCGATTGTAATTTAATTTATTGTATTGATGATCTAGAAAATACTTTGATATCGCTTGTACCTGAATATGATGTAGTAATGTTTGGGGGCGATTTAAACATTGACATGTTGGTTGATACTCCAGGTAAAAGACGGTTGAATAATCTTTTCCAAAAATATAATTTTCACCAAATCATATCCGAACCAACAAGGGTCACAGACATTAGTTCTAAACTGTTGGATATATTGGCAACTAATGAAACTGATTTTGTCTGTGAACCGGAGGTTATTAGAATTGATGACATATCTGACCATAGGCTGGTGAGGTGCAGGGTGCGTGCAGAGATGAAGCGTGGTCAAGTAAAATTTCGTACCTACAGAGATTTCAAAAATTTTAATGAAGAGGCTTTTAACAGAGATCTTGTAAGTCGTGACTGGGATAACTTATATTCACTTGATAATGTTGACGAAATGGTCGATTTTTTTAACAAATCAGTCCTTAGTCTTTTCAATATACATGCACCAATGAAAACTTCTAGGATAACCAAAAGTCCTGCGCCCTGGCTGACCGACAACATAAGATTTATGATGAAACTTAGGCAAAAAGCTCTATCTAAATATAAAAAACATAAATCCGATGCTAATTGGCAGTCGTACAAGGACTTGCGGAATTTAGTTTTAACTACTATCAGAAACGAAAAAAAGGCCTACTTAAATTTTAAATTCCAAACTGATCCCAAAAATTTTTGGAAAACTCTAAAATACCTAAATATTAATTCCAGGCCTGAGTCCAGCCCTGAAAAAGTTGGTAGTGTCGAAGATTTTCGTAATTTTTTTGTAAATGCTGTCCCACAATCAGATCCAGGTAATTTTTATTTGACAAAGTATCAGGGGCAAAGGTGCTCCCCTAGCCTGGATGAACTAAATTTCCGTGAGGTTAATGAAGAAAAAGTCAATAAAATTATCTTGCAGATAAAGTCCAACGCTACAGGTTATGATGGTATAAATTTGAAGATGATTTTACTGTTAATTCCATATTTGATTCCCCACATAACTTATATTATCAATAAGTGTATACAAGACAAAAAAGTCCCTGACCAGTGGAAGGTTGCCAATGTCATGCCAATAGCCAAAAAAATAACCCCTCGGAACTAAAAGACTTTAGGCCTATAAGTGTCCTACCCACCTTATCTAAGATTCTAGAAAAAATTCTTTATGAACAATTATTTAATCATTTGGAACAAAACAATATTTTGCCACCTACCCAGTCTGGATTTAGGGCCAACTATAGTACAACCACTGCTTTACTCCAGGTAACTGATGACGTAATCCAAGCATCGGATCGGGGTCAATGCACTTGTGTAGTTCTATTAGACTACAGCAAGGCATTTGACACGCTGATCCATAAAATATTATTCGCAAAACTTGGTTATTTTGGATTAGGTCCTGATGCAATTGCCATGTTGGCAGATTACTTTGACGGGAGACTTCAGAGGGTTGTTTTTGATGGCAAGTTTTCCACGCCTTCTTTGCAGGATAGGGGAGTACCACAAGGAAGTGTTTTGGGCCCTTTAGTATTTACTTTGTATACGGCTGACCTCCAGAATTTCTTAAACTATATGTCTGGCCACCAATTTGCCGATGATTACCAGCTCCGGCTCTCTTTTGACAAAACACAAATCACAGATGCAAAAAAACAAATAAATAAAGACCTTGCCACAATCCAGAGGGTGTCGCAGCAACATGGACTCATCTTAAATGTAGCAAAAACCCAAGCAATTCTCTTTGGAAGCAACAGGAGGCAATGTTTCGAAGATGGGTTTAAAATTTCTATTGATCAAAATGAAATTGATTTCAGCGACTGCGTAAAAAACTTAGGCATCATGATAGACTATAATTTGAGATATGAGTCACATGTTTCAAAGCTTTTACAGAAAAGTTATGGTAAACTTAAAATGCTATACTTGCATAAAAGCTACTTATCCACCAAAGTTAAACTTAGGTTATGTGACTCACTAATCCTCTCACAAATATCATACTGCGACACTCTGTACTGGCCCGCACTTTTAAAGAAAGACCAAGAAAGTCTTCAAAAACTCCAAAACGCATGTTTAAGATTTTCATATGGTGTGCGCAAATTTGACCATATCTCGCCCTACTATGTAGAGTCTGGATGGCTCCGGCTTGATGAGCGATTCTTCTTGCACATGTGTACAATAGTTCACAAAATTATCTTGACCCTCCAGCCTAAATACTTGGTCAAAAGACTGATCAGAGGGTCGGACATTCATAATCTACCTACCCGGCATAGAGGATTGTTTACAGTTCCCAGGCACAGGACGGCTCTCTTTCACAGGTGCTTCCGGTACGTTGCAACGAAATGTTACAACTCGATTACATTTGAAATGAGATGCTCTAAAACTGTACCTACGTTCAAGAAATCCCTTAAAAGCTTCCTTAAAGCCAGGAATTTGAAATCCATTTACATAACACCATAGTTTGTCTCGCTTGGTCATTCTGGGGAGTCTGAATTGATAGAATTGTTAGAATAAGTAAATTCGCATATTTGTTATTTGGTTAAATATTTATGTAATGCCATTCTTTTTTCTAGATTAATTGTATTCATGCTTTTTTTTTATTATTGTTCTCTTTTTTAATTATTTTTCCATACCATACATTTCATGGCGTTCACGAACTTGGCGTCCATGTTTTTCAAAGTGGTTAGATAGAATAGCTATGCTAGATCTCGCCACTTATTAAAACTAACCATATGAACAAATTGATGTAACATATATAAATAAAGGCTTTTTGATTTGATTTGATTTGATTTGATTTGATACCTGATTATAAGACAATGGACTGGCTTAAGAATTATTCTAGAAGTAGGTACATAACGCAACAGATCAGGAAGCCTATAGAAGTGTGATTGCCAATATCCAGTAATAATGGATCTGCAGCTAAAGGAAAAACAGAAGGAACATTCTCTTTAATGACATCCAATATTGAGACCTACTACACCTTGATACGAATAACACTTGACACATAAACCAGAAAACAGTCATTCACCTACCAAAAAATCCAAAAAATATACGAATTCAAAGCCATTAACGGTACCTAGATTTTTTTCTTATTATTGAATTCCAGTAGGTACTGTACACGGCTTCTCTTGATAGCCTAATACAACTTTCATAGTATCATGGGAAAATATTCCTAATTCAATTACACCTACTTGTTCAATGGCTTTGTTTAAAATTTTGTGCCTTGTATATACCTACACAAGTTTTATATATGGACATATCTGCTATTGTGGAGCAATATAAATCATAGTTCATATTGCTACTTTTTAATTTCAATTAAGGTTTATTGCAAAATTGCATCATTTATTTCATTATTGGCAAGGAGTCATGTTAACAATTACCTAATTACTACATAAGTAGGTACTCATTAGATCCCAAATCAAAACAAAATTTTATTACCAAATAAATTTATTAATTAAAAAAAAAAACACATAAATATACAATAATTAACACAGTTTCCTTATGTAATAATACTGCACGTTCTCCTGTTTTGAAACGAGGAAATCTTTTTTTTCTTTGCACGAAGCTTACGTAATAACAACATACGGTATTATTTTACATAATAATTTTATGTGATGGTTTTTGGCAAGTACAACAAGCAAGTGAAATAATTACTTTAATATCAGAAATGAACAGTTAGCTGACTAGAAAATTTTGCAACGAAATATTTCACTTTCCCAAAAAGATGCAAAAATTTATTTATGCCCATAATCTCCATAACCACCTTCATCACCGCCGCCTCCATAACCACCCTGTTCGTAACCTCCATGGTGTTCTTCGTGATGTACTTTCACTGGATACGGCACCGGTACTTTTACTGGGTACGGTACTGGTTTTTCAACTGGATATGGTACTTCTTTGTAAACTGGGTATGGCTTGTCTACGGGCACTTTTACTGGGTAAGGTACGGGTTTTTCTACTTCAACTGGTACTTTCTTTTCGACGGTGTAAGGTTGAGGAACTGGAACCTAAATAAATTTGCATTAATGTAGAACATTTTTTTCACAATTTCTCAAAGGTCAGACATTCTTACCTTAACTGGGTATGGAACAGGTTTGGGTACTTCAACTGGATAAGGCTTGTCGACAGGTACTTTAACTTCATAAGGCACCGGTTTTTCAACTGGATACGGGACGTGTTTCTCAACAGTCACGTGATAAGGTTTGGGCACGTGCACGGTGTACGGCCTGTCTACGGGTACTTTAACTTCGTAGGGTACCTTCTTTTCGACAGTGTAAGGTTGTGGTACTGGAACCTCGACCTAAAGAATCAATCAGTAATTGAATATAAATTTTATTAGGTAATGATGCACTGACCTTTACTGGGTATGGTACTTTTTTGTAAACAGTATATGGTTGCGGGTAGGGTACTTTCACTGGAACTGGAATTTTCTTTTCTACTGTGTAAGGTTGGGGCACGTGCACCTTGACTTCGTACGGCCTTGGAACTGGTACTTTGACTTCGTACGGTACTTTTTTGATTACCTCGTAAGGTTGGTGCACGATGTATGGTACTTTGATGATTTCCTTGACGGGCACTGGAACCTTCTTTTCAACAATGTAAGGTTGAGGTACGTGTACCTTGACTTCGTAGGGGACTTTTTTCTCGACTGGGTATGGTACGTGTTTGGCCACAGTGTACGGTACCGGTACTTTCTTTTCTACCACGACGGTTTTTACATGCTCGTGGTGTTCATGACCGCCATAACCTGATAAAAGGATTATTTTTATTATGAAATAAGTAGAGAATTTACAAAAAATGACGACCACCATGGTAAAAAGGAGGTGAGGACAAGGATCCTATCAAATTCTGATAGTTAAATTTGTCCATTTTCCCTCCAACCTTCGATGAAGGTCCAAAAAATAAACTCATCATTTACCTCCTCCAATGTCACCGCCTCCGTATTCGTGACCGCCGCCGCCATATTCGTGACCACCGCCTCCGAAATCGTGACCGCCGCCTCCGTAGCTCGGTTCCCAACCGTGATGGTCTCCGAGTAAGATACCCCTCTTGTCTTGCTTTTTGCTTTCCTGCTCGACCTCCTTTTTCTCGACCTCTTCCTTCTTTTTCTCGGCCTCGGCAGCTAAAGCGCAAGCGCAGAGGCACAAAGTGCCTACGACAATCTGGAAAAGAACATAACATTACATTACTAGACTTGAAATGATGGTAAAAAATGACGGCTGTACTCGACAATCAATAAATTAGTCAATATGAGAGGTGCATTGCAAATTTCATTGTTTTCATGGGCATTAAGTTCTTCAATCAGAGAAATCTGCAAGTTCTGGGAGCTTGGGTGACCAATTCGATTTTCAGGGTTACACCAGATCTCGGAGTTTTCATGGACAGCAAAGATGAAAGTTCAAGCTTCAAAAAAGGGATAATTTGCACTCTATTTCATTCCTCATCATCAATCATTTTTTCCAGGCCATCGAGTAAATTGCTTGTGATAAAAAAATCCACTCTAGAATTTCATGGATGAGTCTGGGTTATAGTCAATGTCGCTTGCTCCACATTTTTAAGAATTTGATTCAAAATCGAGTTTTCCATCTTGCACACATGATTCAGTTCAGGTTCCTTGAATCATCATTCAAAATATTGAGATCAGGAACTTCGTTTTCGCATCCTAGACACATTTCAAGTGTTCTGATTTGGTTCAAGTTTACTTCATCTGGTTCTTGAATAACTTTTACTTCTTCTAAGAATAAAAAAATCTCTCAGAAAATCATGTTGTTATACTTAAGCAAAAGAAAATAACAAGCGACATGACATTTAAAAAAAAAGAGATGTTTCCATCTTGCACGCATTATTCAAGCTTTCCTTTTCTGGTTCCGCATTATGTAACCCATCACTGCTGCACGTATAAATAGAAATAACTCGTTTAATTACCATTTTCAAGTTAAAGTAGAACGAAACATAACATATCGGATCTAATAGAAAGTTCTAAAGATATCATTACCAATGATGAACATTATAAATTTTTAATTTGTGGTAAAGCGAGCTTACAATATCGGAAAGTTTAATTTTCGTGGACCTACTAGTATTTTGTGCAAGAGAAATGCTCTTTTTTGAAATGATGCTTTGAGCATTTGACATTTTTATCAATAATTGATCATAAAGGTCTATTGAATCAAAAAAGCACTGCTTGAGGCCTTTATCTCAAAAGTAGTAACAGCATTATTGAAAATGAAATGTTTCCCCTTATTTGAAATATAAGCATCTCCCCTTGAAATTAATAAAACAAAAAATATACAACAAACTTAATAGCCGTAATTATTGTAGCACTGATCACAAATCACTATCAAATCTTCATCACTCGTTGTTTGAAACAGTCCAATATCACAAAGAAGGCACAAAATCACAAAGATACAAGGGTGGTTCCCACCCACCGCTGGTATAGATTTACTTACCAGGGCTCTCATGTTCGACTTGCGAATAGGTAGAAGAGTTTGCACTGTAAATTAATCTTCCTCCACGTTTATATATGTACCAGAAGCACACTTTCTATGGTGCTCAAATCACCATCGGGCTTAAGACCCAACCACCACCAAGCCAGGGTTTCACTTCCACATCCGCGGCAACCGTAACGTATATACACGTTACATTATGGTTTGTTTGATTGCTCCCGCTTATGTAATTTAATGTGTTTTATATAGTTTGTTCTTCTTTGTTAGTGGATTTTTGTAAAAGATAAAAATAAATGAGCATTTAACAACTCTCCTTAATTGTATCGTTACTAAAGATCTTCACTAATGTCCTTTAGAAGGGCGGCTTTTTTGCTTTCTATCGTGTCCGAATCGCAAAATTTTCAGGTAAAAATGTTCGAACAAGCGTGTAAGGGTGAGAGATGGATGATGTGAGCACCTGCTGAACGAGTGCCAAAAAGGGACCAGAAATATGATCAGAGGGTTGGATTGTGTATGATTCATTAAGGTCTAAAATTATTTTTTCACGACTGATGCTTTCGAAAACTACTCATTTCCAATTGTAATTAGAGCGGTTTATTTATTTCTCAAATCAAATGAATTTTGTTAATATAATGTGCCAAACGGGAAAAGTGAAAACTCTGGAAGTAGAAGGAAGAAGCATTTTTGTCCCAAAAATGACTAAATTTTGGGAGCCAAGTACCAAGTACCAAGTACCTCATTACATTATTATTCTAATTTCGTTGTGTATAAAAGGGGAAGAAATATTTAAATATCAGTAAAGATAAATAGTTTTATATTCCTAACAGTCACCCACTCACAAACAAGTGAAATGCTGCAGAACTCGATTACTATTACATAATAATTTCTACTCACAATGGTTCACCGTCGTAGATCAGCACTATCTGTTGGCGCACATAAATATTTGAAGTTTGAGAGCATACATTCATGAGATCGATCTCCATGTCAACTTTGCGTTCGTGAGTCAGTTCTATAGATACTGGACATCCCCTAGACCACATAATGTCTTCTGCGTCGATGCCAATGCTAATCAGTGTCCTCTGAAAAAAGATGGCTTGGATCTTCATTGAGTTGATCTTCCAGCTGACGCACCATTCTGAATCAGATTCATTTCAATCTGGAATTTCTCTCATTTGACCGATTCTGGGCTGTGTGATAATCGTGCAATCATTTGCATACAGTGCAATCTTTATGTTATGCTACTTCAGAAAGCGTGCGTGTAAATGTACAATTATTGTAGGCAAGCTCCAACCCTTGTAGAAGTTGTAGAATACATTGTTTCAGTTCTCTTGTTCTTTATCGGTGTTTACCAATCACGGCGAAAGATCTACCTCTAATCTTTTTCTGCGGTGTCTTCTATTTTCATCTTTTTGAAGTTTCGACATTTTATCGTCTCCTCTTTGGTCAGACAACAAAGTATTCTTGGTGAGCTTCCAAGATAGTTCTTGAGTATAGTTTCCTAGTCAGTCACTTTTGGATGTTTTCTTCTCAGGTTTTTGTGCCGATTTTCCGATGGTGCCCATTTCTGTTTACATTTCTGATGTTCCAGGTTGGAGAATTGTAGCGAACGGTAAGCTCATTACTCTTGAAAAAGAGTTAACAAGGGGTAATATTGTGATTGCTGGCCTGTCTGAGACTCATTAAAGGGACGCAGAACACTTCACTTCCAGCAGTGACAATTTCGTTTGCTTTTCGGGCATTTTATAATCAACAGTAGACCATCAATATCTTAGGGCACATATTAGCAAAGAATACGAACAGGGCCAACGTCTCCTCCAATTTTGTATGGATCACCAGCATCTCTATTGCCAACACCTTGCTCACACAACATCCTCAACGACTTTAAACGTGTGTCTCCCCAGGTGGACAATATCGCAATCACATCAATTACATTTTGGTTGGAATACGATGAAGATCATCATTTAGTCTTTGTAAAACTCTACCAGGTTCCGATTGTGGTTCAGACCATCAACTCCTTCTTTGGGAACTTCAGCTTAAGCTGAAGATATGATGTCCACGTTATAATAATATGTGCTTAACAAATGAAAATGTTCTTACACATGCTGCCCAAACAACTCAACCAAAAGCACTCAACTTAAAAAGCCATGGATTATCAACCATACATTGTCCGTCATTGATGCATGTAGAGAGCTTAAGATCAGAGGTCTGGACTCTGATGCAAAGCACGATCGGCATAGAAAATTAACACTTGAAATTCAAAGACTCCGCCGTCAAGATAAGAACTCGTCTCTTCAGGAATTGTGCACAGAGATACAGGCCAATGCCTATACAGGCCATCCAGGAGCTAGATGTCCCCAAAGATAAAATGTCTCTATCGGGATTAAACCCAAAACTTGGTCAATTGAGAACGCCGATGAACATCTCATCACCAGCATCGAGGTGTGGCGTACATATTGTGGAAACCTTTATTCCGATGTTATACCATTCAAGCCCCTTTGTTGAATTACGAACGTGAGCGGGATATTCTTTTTTCGAAAGTGGAACATGCCGTCAGTAAACCTAAAGCCGGTAAAGCGACAGGCATTGATACCCTTTCTGCCGAAAAAAAGATAAGATTAAGCTTGCTCATCAACAGTATCTGGAGGATGTAGAGAGGAGTTTAAGAGTAAAACCGAAATTTTTCTGGTCATACCTGAAGAAGCTTAAAAATTCAGCAGATATAGTTGAGGACATGACTTTTGAGAATGGATCATACTTTGGAGAATGTTCCAAAATGTAGCTGATGGTTTTACAGAATTTGTTAACTCAGTTTTCATGGAAGATAATGATCCTGAATGTGGAACTTCCAAAATTAAATCATATTTTCATGATAACAAGATATCTTCCTCAGATAAAGATAGGGCTATCAAAAAAATAAAGGGAACTAGATCCATCGACCCAGACGGGGTTCCTGCCTATGTTTTGGAGGGATGCTGTGAACACCTTCTAAAACCCTTGGAGATTTTGTTTAACCTTATTTTGAAAACTTCTAGTTAGCATAGTCTCTGCGAGGTATTGTTCGGTGAGATACCTGATCAAATCATGCCAGCATGGCTGCTTTCCCAAGAGGTCAACTTTAACTAATCTGATCACTTTTTCTCAATACGTCCATGAAGCAATAAACAATAAATCTCTAGTTGATGTCATCTATATAGATATGAAAAAAGTCTTTGACAGGGTTAGGCATTGTGTCATTCTCAAGGCTTTGTCGGACATGGATGTGTCCTCGTATATTATAAAGCTGATTCAATCATACCTGACCCAAAGGCATCAACATGTTGAAGTTAAAGTATGTACACACCTAAATCGGTAACCTACAAAAGCACGTCAGATGTTTCACAGGGCTCAAACTTGAGACCACTACGTACTTTTCTTGGCCACAATATATAATATAGTGAGGAGTATGGAGATGGCTAGAGCCTTACTTTTAGCGGATGATTTTAAGTGTTCTATTCAAATAGACTCTACTGATGACTGCGAAACTCTCCAAAATGATTTCTGTAACGTGGCCTCTTGGTGCAATACAAATGATTTTAAATTAAATATTGCCAAATGTTCTTGTATGTCTTCCAGCCTTAAGCATAATTTCATTCGCTATGACTATACACTTAATAGTTCGCCGCTTCATAGAGTTGAAAATCAAAAGGATCTGGGTGTCATTTTTGATACGTCATTAACCTTCTCTAAGCACATTACTTTGAAGATAGACAGTGCGCAGGAAATATATAGTTTCATAACAAGAAACACCAAAAATTCGAATGTTAATGTAAGTTTGCATCTTTTATTAGATACCCTATTTTTCCAAATTTTGGAGTATGGATGCATTATCTGGTCACCGCAATATGACTTAGGGACAACAATATATTATATCGAAAGGATGCAAAGGAAATTTCTGAAGTTCGTTTATTATCGGAAATATGGAGTCTATCCTCCTCGGGGGTGTGATGGTGAATACCTCCTTGGTATCTTTGGTAGACTGTCTCTAAATCAGCGAAGAATAAGAATCCTATACTACGGTATTCAAGTTGCTTAAGGGTGATATTGGCAGTCCTGATATGCTAACACAATAGGCTCCTTGCAACAATTTTTTTTATCGCTGATTTCGTTTGTCAATGAAAAATGAGTCAACACGTGTTTTTTCTTTTTCTTGTTAGACAAAAATTGACGGAGATACAACGCTTTGAAATGTGCTTATTTTTCATATCCTATGACGTCACACCATGCTCAGTATATCTATATTCTATATATACAAAACTTAATCTTTGTATAACTTTCGGAATAATCATATTGGGATAAAATAAAAAAATACGTATAGATTTTTTTTTCGATTTCCTACAGTTTGCAATAAACAGTTATCAATTTAATTTTTCTCGCAAGCACCCTATTGCCATTTGCAGTGAATCGTGTTAATTCACGTAATTCTAATGTCTTTTACTTAATACGTCCTCGGACAAATCTCTGCAAAAAATCGCCGATTTACAAAATGATGATAATCCATCTTACTATAGACCTATTTCGTTGTTGACGACGCTTTCTAAGACCATTGGGAAAATAGTTAAATCTAGACTAGTGTAGCAATCTAGAGAAATTTAATATTCTGGTTCCAGAGCAGAACAAAGGGGTACAAGCGACGCAATTTTTTAATTTCTGGAAAAGCTGTTCTTCAGCTTCAATGATGGAGAGGGAGCTGCGACAGTGTTCTGTGATTTCTCGAGGGCATTCGACTGCATTATTCACGGGATACTGCTGTGAAAACTGGATCATTATGGAATTAGGGAAACAACTCTTAATTGGTTTAAGTCATACATACCTTATGGAACAAAGTCAATTTGTCAGAGTTGCAAACAATAATTCCCAAACAATGAACCTTGATTATGGCGTCCTCCAAGGTTCTGTATTAGGTCCTATTTTATTTTTATTGTACCTATATAAATGACCTCTCTGCCTTATCTATAATGGAATAATTTGTAATATTTGCCGACGACACGATAATCATCTGGAAGTACAAGAATGCTGATATTCTTGCAAGTATTATTGAGACTGATTTGCTGAGGATTAGGGATTTGCTGAGGATTAAGGATTTGCTGAGGATTAGT